TGCATCCTCTCTGATTTCAGAATAATATGAATTGCGCTCAAATATAGGTGCATTGTCTTGAACATCTAATATTTCCACAATAATCGAACTACTAGTTGATACGGCGGGATCTAGCCGTTCATATGCCGTAACTTTGAGTACATGTCGATCCAATGTTTCTCGATCAAGCGTCTTTCCAACACTAACAAAATACTGTATGAGCTGATTCAATGCTAGATCAATTTACTGACATTTCCACATTATTTAATCTAATCACTAGTCTTTCAAAATCATAACAAACTGTAATTAATGTCTTTCAATGAAAAACATCAATTTCAGTTTCGAATGTAAAATCTTTCGAAATTTTCTGTCAATTAATTGTCAAAAGTTTTAACATAAAATATTTTATGATTAGGAAATACTAACTGATCACTTGGAGTGCTGAAATAGACATTCAGATTTAAAGTTACATTTGGTGACGAAAATACAACCAACGAATTTTTAAAAAATTTTTCAAACTGATCAATTTTTTAAAGATATGAGCATATTACAAATTCAAATGGATTTTCCAATGAAAGGAATCAAAAACAAGACCATAAATTTGTCATTTGATTATTACGATGACTGTTGAATAATGTATTTGTTTATTAGTTCATTTATTGTTTAAAAGATAAGTTTGACCATTAAAAAATTTTTCAAGTGGATTTCATTTTCCTAATTTGATCATATGCTAGCTGGTACGAAATAGATTATCTGGAATGGATGGAAATGGATATGTTAGGAGGATTATCACTGTTCTTAACTGGATGCGATTTACAGTGGTATTGTGGTGCTTAACACAACATTGAAAAAGACAATTATTACTCATGCTCAAAGAATCATAGCAGCAGAAATTGAATCGAAAATGAATTCGAAGAAAAAGCTCACCAATTATGCTCATTTCAAAAGAGCCTGTGCATCCAAAAATTGGTGCGTAAATTTCCATTAATAATTCAGAAAGTATATTAATTAGTCAACAAATGAAATAATTAAAGGACAACAAGGTAAGAATAAAGGAAAAATCAGACTATTGACGAGTAACTTCTTAAGTTCCTCAGTAAAAAAGCTGAATACTGACTGAAAGAGCAATAACGGTGGAAAATTTTTATATAAGGAAAACAATATCGATAGCATAGAAAAACGTAACATACCGTATTTCTCCTGAAACTGTGTCAAGGGTGAAAGTGTTTGCTGTACGTGAATCTTCAGGCGCTACCATAGCATAATACACTGATTCATTAGTAATATGGGTAGCTTGCAGCTTGAAAATTAATGAATTAATGGATAAATCTTCTGGTATTTGCGTGATGTATCGCTCTTGCTGGAAGTGTATCCGAGGTACTGTGGGATTTCTGCGCCGTAACCATCGTTTTGACCGTAGTTTTGAAGCATACTTCTTGTGATCCATAACAAGAAATGTATGATAAATAACAGAGCTATTAAAACATGCATAAGAAAATTTCACTTCCCACGGTTTGACATCAAAGCATACATGTTCTTCTGCGAATAGTACACCAGACAAAAAATCTAGGGAAACACTGCTAGAATGCAGAAATATTGGCATATTACAAGCTTTTGTACCGGGCCAAAAAAGCAACGGTTGACCAGGATAAATACATGGTGGATAATTGTATGGTAACCATATAGTATGGTTGCTTCTGGGCAACAGGCATCCAGCTATACAACTATCTGCATTAAATGTGGGGAGATTGAAGTGGAACGAAGGCGCGACAAATGGTAACACATCAGTAAAAGTAAGAGCAATTAAAATAAGTTTTGTTTGAAACCAGTTAGAATGATACATTATTAAATATTACAAGCTTCAATAATTTCTCAGCAGGAATGGGTTGCTTCGGCTGGCAAAGGTGGGTTGTTCCTGGTGCCACTCATACATGCACTGCGCATACCGCTCAAATAATATGTTGGAAAGAAAGTAATTTTTCTCAAGCTTTAGATGCAGAATTATATTGGCCAGTGGAAGAGAGTGGGTTACAAGGGTTTACACAGACATCATAAGATAATGAAGAAATGGTGTTGAAAGGGTGGGTGGGAAGTTCATTTGGGGCGTGTAGAGTGGTACGAACTCAACCGAATTGGAATAATGCTAGGTCAGAATTAAGGCTTGGTCTTTTGTTGTATTTCACTACTACAACAACTACTACTACTAGTCCTTTATTAATACCCGTAAAGAGCATCGATTAGTAATGACTAGCAAATAAAAAGTAGGCACAGCAAGCTGTTAGCATTTAGTTAAGGAAGGAAGACTTCAGTTTATGCCATTTCAAATATTGAATACTCATTCAAAATACAAACATTACTAACTTGATTAACTGACTGATCTGTATTATACTTACTACTGCATATTATTGTTACTACTACTACTATATGCAACGAGCATCGGTTAGTAGCGACTGACAAATAAAAACGCATAATTTGGAATTTAAAATCCCACCATGAATAAATAAAATATGATTCTTCCCGATTTAATTTTAATATTTTATTTATTGCGCTCGTAATGGTGCAATATCAGCATTTTTAAAATAATAACACATCAGTTAACCCCAAAGCATATGATTAAAATGTTCAATAAACAGTAGAAAATTAGTAATTATAATGGCTATCAACTGTAATTCAAATAAAAATGCTATTAAATTCGAAATTCATGTCAAACTGTGATCATATGGTGCAAACAAATACCCATCAACTGTTGACGAGAGCACATAAACAAATACTAAGGTTTGATGCAGTGTCATTATTAATGAAAAATCTTGAAATTAAATTTATTGCGAAATGCAAAATTTTCATGATCTTAGCAGATATTTTCTAAGTTCTATTTTTTTAGTACGTAATGCATGTAATGTTTTCGTTGTAACTTCATAAGCTGAATACTAAAAATGCGCATGCCAGTTACAGGAAGATGTCAGATGCTCCACAGAAGTAGTTGTATTTAGAAACAAGAAAAATTAAAGCATATACATCTAAATAATAAAAATGTGGAGGCCAGTTTTAATTTTCGCTTTATTGGTTCTGTCGCTGGATCGCATTCCGGCAATCTGGCAGTACTTGTCTCGCGCTCAGATTTGTCGTACTCATCGTTCTCGCTTCGTCCTCAAGAAATCCATAATAATTTGCGAAGCAGATGTTTTCAAGCGTCTTCTTGAAAACTACCGATTGAATGCATGCCTCGACGTGATCAGATAGACTGATCCGCTTCGCACAGCGTTTGTGGAAGTTCGTTACAATCCTGTCCCAAGTCCTGACATACTAAATTATTTTGGTCCTGCATTTCATCTATGACCCAAGCTCATTAGCAAGTAGGTCATATTTTCTCTTTTTCTTGGACTCGACTGGTGTTAATCTGTCCTGACTAGTGATGCCAACCTCAATCAGGATTACTTCACGTCGCTTCTTATTGTGTATCATGATATCTGGTCTATCCGCTTTTATTCTGATTGCAGTTCTCACTCACGTATCGACTCGGATGTAAACATTCTCATTTTGAATAGAATGACTTCGCAAGCGCGGGAATGCTTTCGGACCATACTTCTTGCAGAGTCTTAAGTGGATGGCTGCATCGTAGGACCTCATTGTTTTTTCTAGTATAGTCGTGATTGCTGCCCTTGTGGTACAAATGGGTGCGGTATCTACAAGAACATTATGTAGTTGAAGAAGCATAAGCTCACTATTCTGCTCAACATTATAAAGTCCACGTCCCAGCTCGTCCCTTGAAAGGTGCAGTCTTTCTAAGCATGCAGGTTGCTTGTGAATTCCGTATTTAATTAGTAATTGTCTAATATCGTGGTCTATAGCCTTGAAGTCTTCTGGCTCCAGCTTGAG